TATCTGCGTCGACTTCGATTCCATATTCTTTGCAGAGGCTGTAGTGAAGTTGGGTGCATATTCTGTCGTGTCTCTCGATATAGTCCTTTTGGGCTAGAATTGGGCAACCTGATGTTATGTGCTCAATGGTTTCTTCGAACTGGTGACAGATTCTGCATTTGCTATTCACATGTTTCTTGTGGATTTTCCTCTCTCGGTACCTTGTGTTTAAGGCTTGATCCTGTGCCGCTACAATTAGGCTCTCTGTTTCTGCTTTTAGTACACCTTTACTGAGCCAGATGGTAGAGAGATTACTCTCGATAGAGTCATTTTCTAGCATCAGTGGATACTGCCCGTGCATGGTCTTTCCTTTCCATTTGGTTCTGATGCTTTCTGAGATTTTCTTTTTGATTTTTTGCTTCCTGCTGTTTATGGGGGCCACTTCAAAGTTTTCTCCGAGCTCGGCTTCAAACTTGTTTGCTTCTTTCGCAATGTGGTCTTTGTCTAGAGCAAGGTTGACGGCATATACGGCTTTGAGAAAAGGGTCTTCGTTTTTTTTTTCCTGGAGGTAGTACTTCGCATTGATGATGGAAGATTTGTATGTTGATTCAATTTGCCTAAGTCCTCGTCCTCCTAGTTTTCTGCTCACGTATAGCCTGTCAACGTCTGCGGATGGGTGGTGCATTTTATGCATTGTCAGACATTTTCTTGTTTTTATGTCTAGCGCTTTTATTTCTTTTATTTTCCAATTCAGAATTGCAAATCCGTACTGTAGAACGGGTACGGCTAGCGCTCCGATTGCAGTTATCTTGTTTTTTGCCGTTAGCTCTGTCTTTAGTACTGCTCTTACTCGTCGTATGTATTCTCTCTTTACCTTTTCTTTTATTGTCTTATGTTGGATACCTATACTTTCTTCCATTCCGAGGTATTTGTATGTTTCACCTGGGTCTAACTGTCGGATGCTGGTGTCGACGTCTATATCCATGTTTTCTCCGTGGATGTATTTACCTTTCTTGAAGGTTACCTTGGCACACTTATCTAGGCCAAATTTCATACCTATGTCGTCACTGAATTCTTTCACCGTCTCGAGTTGATTTTGCAGTTTCTCGTCGCTGCTGCTGAACAGTTTCAGATCATCCATATACAGGAGGTGCGTCAGTTGTTTATGGCCTGCCTTGATGTTATATCCATTGTTCATGTTGTTTAGTCGTGTAGAGAGGGGTATTAATCCAACGCAGAACAGAAGGGGGGAGAACGCGTCCCCTTGGTAGATTCCTCGTCTTATTTTAATTTCAGAGGTGATAATTGTATCTGTTTTTCCTCTTAGTTGGATGCATGTTGACCAGTGCTCCATCATGTTCTTACAGGCGTTTACTATATTCGGGTGCACTCCCATGAGTTCCAGTGCACGGATGATCCAGCTGTGAGGCATGCTGTCGAAGGCTTTTTGGTAGTCCAGCCATGCGATCGATAGGTTCTTCTTGTTCTTCCTGCAGTCCTCAATGATGGTTTTGGATATTAAGAGTTGGTCAAGGCACCCTTTAGCTCCTTTGCGGCACCCTTTCTGCTCTATAGGGAGTAGTTTGGCACTTTCTAGGTATTTGTACGTTTTTCCGGCCAAGAGTGCCGTGAAGATCTTATACGCTATGTTGAGGCAGGTTATGGGCCTATAGTTTTTGGGATTTGCCGTTTCTCTATTCTTTGCTATCAGATATGTAGTCCCTTTGGCCAGCCATGGTGGGAATTCTTTCCCGTTCAGTAATTTATTGTACTCGGCTGTTAGGTACTTATGGATGCTAGGGATTTTTTTGAACCAGAAGCTTTGTATCTTATCTGGGCCAGGTGCTTTCCAGTTTGCAAGGTTTTTTATGGTAGTTATCAGTTCATCATCATCGAGATCTGTCCATTCCATTTTGTTGTTTGTGACCTCTGTGTCTTTGATCCACCCAGCCTCCGAGTTGTGCTGAGTAGGGACTTCGTAGATTCCTTTCCAGAACTCTTCTACCTTTTCTTTCTCTGGGGTTTCACCGATGTCGGAGGAGTCACCTTTGATGTTCCTGTAGAAGCTTTTGCAGTTGGTTTCGAAGCTTCTGTTGTGAGAGAATTGATTTGATCTTTTCTGGTATCTTCTTATTCTTTGGCTAAAGACAGCAATACGTTGCCTCAGTTGCTCCATTACATTGTCTATACTGCTTTCTTCTCCTTCCGCGGTGTATTTATCCAGGATTGACTGGACTTTGTGGGTTGTCTGTTGTCCTTTTTCCTTGCTCGTTATTTTGAAGTTAGCTAGTACTGAAAGGTTCCTCCTCAGATCTTGGATTCTGAACTCAATTCTTTTTTGCCATAAGGGCTTACTTTCTTTCTTGTTTATTTTAGTTCCTTTTGGCCCGTTCGACTCGTCACTGATTGTGAGGGCTGCAGCGTAGAGCAAGCGGTTGATTTTCCACAGGTCGAGATTTTCTACGCTCTTAAGCATACTTTGTACTTCATTGTTAGTTTATTATTATGATCTCGTTATTTATTATCATCATCATCATCATCATCATCATCATCATCATCATCACCATCATCACCATCATCACCATCATCACCATCATCACCATCATCACCATCATCACCATCATCACCATCATCACCATCATCATCATCATCATCATTATTATTTTTTTTTTCCCCTCACAGGATTTTTCCTGGTATTAAGAGCCCAAGACGAGTCAAAGACTAGAGTCTTGGGTCCTGTTTATGCCCTAACAATTAAGATTTTCAAGAATAGAAAACTAAAAACCAAAAAAGAAATTAGAGAGATGAAAGAGAGGGGACTATTCCATGTTAAGGAAACTCCGAACTATATTGCAGGTGCTGAGAATAACTGACTTCTGCATGGTGTGGAGAAGGTGATCCGGGAGTTTCAGCTCTTTTAGGTGTTTAATTAGGCTCTCCGGTACGACTCCTGTGACGGACATGATAATAGGCCTAATATAGACAATGTCCATGGCCCAAATTCTCTTAATTTCCACAGAGAGAGGCATATATTTTGATATCTTTTCCTCATACTTCGACAACAAATTGTGTCCGTTAGGGATGCTAAAATCCAAGAGCTGCACAACACGCGCCTGTTTATCTATCAAGATGACGTCAGGTCTATTAGCCATAACCATCCTATCAGTTAGGACTGGGTTGTTCCAATACAGGCGATATCGCTGATTCTCAAGTACAGGTGGCGGATTATACCGATAGTAAGGTTCCGGATTCTCCAACAGATCGCAATTACTTGCCAAGGCTTGATACACTATTTTTCCCATGGTGTCATGACGCTCCGTATATTCCTTCGCCGCAAGCTGAGCACAGGCAGAAGTGATATGATCTATTGTTTCAGGGGCCGCATTACATCTTCTACACTTGTCGCTACCTGTGTTTTCCTTCGTGATATACTTCCTATAGTTCCTCGTACCAATTACCTGATCCTGGATAGCAATTGCGAACCCCTCCGTCTCTGGGTAAAGCTGTCCCTTCGTGAGCCATAGATATGACTTAGCCTGATTCACATGCTCTTGCTGCACCAGGTTGACGTGGCGGCCATGTAGCGGTTTACCTACCCAGTTCTCCAGCTTTCTCGGTAACAAGTCAAACGCCTGCTGCTCTTCAGGGTTATGCGCAGCTATTCGGAGGGGCGTGTAAGACTTATCAACGCGGCATATTGCAACATGCAAAGTACTATCCTCCCTACTTAGAAAGTGATTTCGGAGCATGCAAATCTGACCATGACATGCCTCTCGCAAGTCAAGGATACCTCTTCCACCCTCTCTTCTGGGGATGTTAACCCGCTCAATTGCAGCTTTTGGATGATGCTTGCCCAACTTGGTTAAGGACGTTCTTATGGTCCTGTTCAGACCTTCCAATTCAGTGTCTGACCAAGGGACAATACCAAACGAGTAGGAAAGGGCGGCTATAACGTAAGTGTTAATTGCTTTGGTCATGTTCTTGGAATTTAGTGAGGTATTTAGCACCGCTTTGAGACGACTGACAAATAAGGCGGTGAGGCGTTCTTTAACTTTATCCTTCTTGATGCCTAGGTTTTGCAGCATACCTAAATACTTATAAAGTTCATCAGCGGAAAGCGTTCCAATAACATTTCCAGAGTTGGTAACAATGCCTTCCTCCTCAATAATGATGCCTCTCTCAACATGAAGCGTTTTACACTTTTGTACTCCGAATTCCATACAAATATCCTCACTTACTCCTTCCACGATACCAAGGAGCTGCCTAAGATGGTCTTTCTTAGAGGCATAGATCTTAATGTCATCCATATACAGTAAGTGACTGACCTTGTGGATCTCCTCCCCACCAAGACGCAAGGAAAACCCCAGATTTTCTCTACTAACACGATTCGAAAGCGGGTTAAGCCCCAGACAGAACCATAGGGCACTAAGGCCGTCCCCTTGGAAAATTCCACGCTTGATCAAAATTACGCCCGTTACTGTAGGACTACCAGAGCCACTGACGACTACTCGCGTGCGCCAAGTGGTCATTACACCCTCCAAAAACTTCACAATTACCGGGTGGACCTTGTAGATGTTCAGGACACGTAGCAGCCAACTATGAGGAATTGAATCGAATGCCTTTTTATAATCAATGTACCCTACATGTAGATTTCGGTGTTCCTTCTCCGCTTGCTTCAGGACAACCGAGTCAATAGTAAGCTGTTCCTTGCAACCGAGGCTTCCCTTACGACACCCTTTTTGCTCTTCACTCATGACTCCCCACCTCCGAACGTGCCTATCAATATGCTGGCAAATGATTGAAGTAATGACCTTATAAAGAGAGGAGAGGCAAGTAATGGGTCGGTAGTTCGAGGGATCCT